CTGATGTGAAAAAAACACCATCTTATTCAACATTTCCATTGTAAGTTTGCTTGTAAAGTTGTTTGTTTTGAATCCACTTATTTTATCCAGTTTTTTTTTTCTTTATTTAGAATGAAAACACAACTAAAAGTACCAATTCGTGGTAACACTGGCTTGTACAATTTAGGAAACACATGTTATGTTAATTGTATCTTGCAACTTTTGAGGTAATGGATTATTCTCAAAATTTAGCACAATGAAAGATGTGTGTGTGTGTATATTTTTGTTTAGCCATGTTCCACAATTCTGTGATGCAATTTGTTCAATGAGTTTCGAAAGTCTTGGACTTGAACAGCCATCAGACGTTTCAATGGTAAACAGCAACGAATATTAATTTTATTAAAAAAAACGTATGTTTTCTTTTTATTTTAGACTGGATCACTATCACACGAACATCCTCCACGCCTGAAGGGTGGAAGTCGTAGTTTATTAAAAACGCTTGAAACACAGGCAATGCGTGTGCCTTGGTATGTAAATTTAACTGGTTTGTATGAATAAGAATTGGCATAATTTTTTCATTACAGTTATCTAGCTTATGAATTGCATGGCATATTCAACATTTTGTGGTCTGGAAAGTGTCAAACATTCAGTCCGTTGAGTATAGTTGCAGCGATAAGACACCTTCTACCGTGTTTTGAACCATGTGCAATGGAAGATGCACAAGAATTTTTGGAGTAAGACAATTCTTTATTAATGATCTATTTTTAATGGATTATTGAAACCCGTTGTATTTTAGAGCGCTATTATCAGCTATTACAGAAGAAATCAAAACGAATAAATTAGCTGACACAAATATCATTAGCCATTTATTAGGTTTTTCGTCAGAAAGTCAGGTATTTAGTTTTTATTTATGAAGATGTTGTAAAGTAGAAATTTTAATGCTTTTATTTAATTGTTTCAATTAGATTTTGTGTGAACAATGTCATCGTACATCGATAACAAATACGGATGAGACGTTTATTACATTAACATTTTCAGAAAAAATGCTTTGTGATTCACGCGGTTCTAGTCGCCGTCGCTCGTGTCATTTAACAGATATGTTATCTCAGTTTTATCAGTGGGAAGCATTATCCACACCATTTCAATGTTCGCAGTGTGCTGGTAATGTTCTTATTTTATTTCTAAAAACAAATATTTTAAATCTATTTTAAATTTTAGTTCGTAGCGCATCGAAGGAGGGCACACGCGCACAAAAACGTTTATTAATATCGAAACTACCACAAGTACTACACTTAGTGTTGAGACGATTTAGGTTTGTACTAATTGAATGGTTTACAATATGTTGACCTTCCATTTTCTTAATTGATTAGCTTTTAAATTTTCGTTGCTGACATTGATTATATTTCTGCTCGAACGTTTCTTTATTTTATCCCTTTAGATCATTACCGCAGACAAATCTTCGACGTCAGACATCTCGTCAGGCACCATTGTCACATAAAATAACATTACATGTGAATTTTGATGAATATCTTGATATGGCACCGTATTGTTGTCAAACATCACATAATCAGAATATGTATAATAGTAGCTCTACTATTAATAATAACACTCGTCAGAATAGCAAAAAAACATTTTTTACCAATCCACAATCACAACAGACTACTTCTTCCGAAGGAAACGAAGATTTAAATAACTGTCAGTATCGTCTACGCGGTGTTGTTGTACACTATGGAAAAAGTATTAATACTGGACATTTTGTTTCATTTTGTTATAATGATGCATTAGGTAAATAAATTATTCTGTTTATTACATTACATTACAATTATCATTACAAACAAATTACATTTTTTTATTATTATAGGCGAATGGATTCGTTGCGATGATCATGTTGTTGAAACCACAACATTTGAGTCAGTTAAAACAGCTGATGCCTATATTCTAGTCTATAGTCGATGTGCAACAACAACACCATCGTCATTGGATTCAGTAGCCGATTCACGTTTATCTCAGCAATGCAATATAAACTCATCTGTACCACCATCTCAACAGCAAAGTATATTCATTATATATTTTTTTCGTATATATATAGACTAGTTCTTTGTTTCATTATAGGTCCAGTACGTTCTTCACGCAAACGTCGTCGAGCGTTGTCAGTAAATAATGTTAATGATGTTAGTACGACAGCTATAAAAGCAGCAACAACTATCGACAAACAACAACAACAACAACAACCGATAAAACAATATACCGAACCAAGTATGAACTCCTTCAATCTTACTTAGTCAATAAAATACACATCGTGTTATTTAATATTGTTTAGCTCTTAAAAAACAGTCGAACAAGATTGTTGTTCAACCGCAGTTAACACAAGCCTATGTTGTAAATAGCTTAAAATCATTATGTGTCAAATTCGGTATGTTTTGTTTCATCTAATTTAACTTTATTCAAGAAGGAAGAAACGAGTTTTAAATAAGATAAAGTAGAGAAAGCCCGTATTAGATGTACGTTAAACCGCATATATGCGAATCAATGTAAAAAGAAAGAAAATGAGAAAAAAATAAAATGACTGTGTAGGATATATAATAAAGAAAATATAATTTATAAAGGAGAATTCAAAGAGAGAGAGAGAGAAAAACTTGGGTAAATATTCATGTGACATCGAGAAGTTTATACACTGATTAAACCAACCGAGTTTTTTTACTTATCTCTACCTAACAACTATCTTTACATATTCTTTTGTCTTAGATCCAGGTCTGAGACGTCGTGCTCAATCACTCAACTTTGCTATTCGTAGTCATTCATGTAATGGTATGTCATACACGATACATCATGATCTACCGATATTGACAATCTCTTCTTTTTTTTAAAATTCTCCAGTGGATAGTTCAAGGGTGTCAGATGATATTGGGCCTTCACCATCAAAACGTCGACGAAAAACACCAGTAGTAAAAACATGTATTCCAATACATAATTATTGTTCAACACGTATGTTCAAATATTATTTTGAAATGCGTATCTATTTTAGTTTAGGTTTTTTTTCTTCCTTATTTAGGTTTAACTTCTCGTTCTAAATCGTCTTTAAATAGTACGCAACATAGTAACACAACTTCACAAATAACAACAATTGCAGTGACAACAAGAAAAAAGCCTGGTCAATCTATAAATGTTTCAAGTAATCAGATTTCAGATGGTGTAACAATGACTCGAAAAAAACCAATAAGACGGCGAAAAAGATCAGCATTGTCATTTTCACGTAAGTTGTTTCTCTCGATTATTGTAATGATTTATAATTTTACTTTTGTTTGAGTTCTATATCGATATCATTTCAGTACTCTTAAGAATACTCTCATCAAATAAACATGAGTTACTGTCGTAGAAAAATTCTATTTGCCTAATTTCCTACGTCATAACGATTAGCTTAGAAATAAAAAATCTAGTATGTATGTATAGCTATCTTTTTTTCAGGTAAACGACGCCCAAGAAAATCAGTGCCACTATCAGAACCATCACTATCAACAGCAATAGTGAATACAACCGGTGAAGTCAAAAAAGTAAGAATAATCTATGACTATAGAAGTTTGCAGATAGTTTTAAAGTAGAATGAATTTTAATTAGATTGAAAATATACAAACTATTGTGTCTTCGGATATAACACAAAATTCTTCTCCAATCTCAATAACGAAACAAACTCATCAAACTACAGATCTTAAGTAAGATTGTGTTTTAATGTTGAATTTGTGTTCTTGATGTTGATAATTATCATTTTAGACGGCTTGGACGTGTTCGGATTCAGCGTTTAACTGAAAAAATACCAGCAGGTATATCCGTAAGCGTAGCATCAACCACACCAACGATTTTATCACCAATGGTCACACAAAACACCACAAATCCACCACTATTGAGAATGACTTTTGTAGAACAGCTGTCAACTGGCAATGTTGTTAAATCTCCATCATTTTATCGTACGATCAGTCCATCATCTAATATTGTTTCTCCATCAACATCACCATCATCGATAATGGCTGATGTATTTACTGTGCGTAATCGGTTAACAAAACAAGAACCGTTACCATCGAGTGTTAGTCAAATATTCACAACTGTTGTATCGTCATCAGCGAATAGTTGAAAGATGCTTATGATTATTTTTTTCTTTCGATGTTTTTCTTCACTGCATTCACATACCCACTTGAATATTATCGGTGTCATTTTTTTGTTGTTGTGTAGTTTATATCAAGTCACAAAACAGGTCTGTTTGACAGATCTGTCTAAAGATCACACATACACACACAGCTTAGCTTGTTTCTAAAATGAAGCTTTTTTAGTTGCACGTACTCATCTAGAATTAGTGTAAGAGTAGTAAGAAAAACAAGGATGATTTCATTTTTATTCGAACGTGCTTTTGTCAGCTATTTTTTCTTTTGTATTTTAGTCAAGCATTTATGTATGTTGTTCAGATTTATTGGGTAATGTTCGTCCTCCCCTCCAAAAAAAAAAAATCTTTTTATAATTATTGTTTTTTTTTTTGTGTGTTCAATTCTCAATGTATAGAAATTTTTCGATGCGTAAAAAAAAACGCTAAAATACTTAAAGCAGCAATGATCGTTTGTTTCTCTGGTTTATTATTACTTATAATAGTCATCTTTCTTTCGTTATCGTTATTTCTTCATTTATGTATTTTGTGTGGTTTGACGTTTCTTTGGTTGTTGGTTTTCTCTTTTTCTTTGTAACCAAAAAAAACAAAAAATACCACGTATTGAATTCTCATTGTTATATTAATATTCCGAAAAAAAAATGCATGTACATTGTTTGAAAAAGACATCTTTTTAAAAAACTAAATAAAAAACAAAAAACTCAAAATAGCAAAAATACAAATTAAACTTTTTTTTTTGCAATTTTGTATTCGAAGTAGGACATCAACGTTCACAAAAATAAAGAAGATCTTGCTTATACTTCACATATTAAGATGGATAGTTACATGTTCAATCATGTTTTATTTAAAGATCAATAGCCAGTTCGACAAAATGGATTCATCATCAACAATCACGAAAGTTCCATTAACTGGTAGTAGTGTAACACTATCATTACATCCTCTCGTTATTATGAATGTAGCTGAACATTACACAAGAGTACGTGTCCAAAATCAACCTCGCACTACATCATCGACTACTGCTATCACATCGACAACACCCTCATCCTCTAATATTCAAGTTTTTGGTGCATTACTCGGTAAACATAAAGGTCGTCATATTGAATTATGTGATACATTTGAATTTAAAATAACTGTTAATAAACAATTAAATACAATAAATAATATTATTATTGATTTGGATGATTTAAGTAAAAAATTAGAATCAATTAAAAAAGTTCAAGGTGATTTAGATTTTAGTGGTTGGTATGCAATTGGTAGCGAATTGAATGTTGGTTTAATGAGCGATTTTTATCAACAGTTAATACAATTAAATGAAAGTCCACTATTCCTACGTTTAGATCCATTTGGTGTTAGTAATGAATTACCGATACATGTCTATGAGACAAGTATTGATATTTTACCAAATAGTAATAGTGATGGGACAAAAATTGATTTTATTGAAATAACATACACTTTGATTACAGAAGAAGCTGAAAGAATTGGTATTGATCATGTGGCACGTTATTCTGTAACAGATTCATCAGATACATCAATGGTTACCGAACAAATACATATTCAATATAATGCAATACGTTTATTATATCAACGTATGTTATTGTTACTAGAATATATAAAAGCAATTAAAAATAATATATTACCACGAAATGATGATTTATTAAGAGAAATTGGTTCATTGTGTCAACGATTACCAATAATGAATACAGACGATAATAATAATCAATTGTTTCGTGATGATTTTAATATTCAACAGTCAGATGTTGCATTACTCGCTCTATTAGCGTGCTGTACACAAGAAATAAATACATTGAATGATTATATAAGTAAGTTTATTTGAAAACATTGAGTATAGTCAAAATATTTTCTTTTTCAATCAGATAAATATTGTCAAAGTATATTTTCTTTAGGTAAATTTAATATTGTACATGAAAAACAACAACACGGCGTTTTTGGCTATGGTGGTCGACGAGCGGGTCGTGGTCCATTTTTTTATCCATCTTCATTTGTTTAGAAGTAAAAAGAAATAATATAAAAATTAATTAATAATCTTTGTCTGCGAACTACTTTTTTCTTTTTCTCATTTATTTTTTTTATACATATTTTGATTAAAATCAAGAGATTGTTGTGTTATTCATTCAAACGATAGGAAAGTAGTTACAAAGGAGGAGGGAACGATAAAACAAACATAAAATCAGCCCTCTCTGAAACTTTGCTTATATTCATGGATTTGGTGTGTTTTACCTTCGAGAGTAAAACTAACATCTTTTTACCCCTTAAAAACTATTTATTAGATAAATTTTGCTACTTTCCACAACCTTCACTGATTGAATTTTTCACATTCTATCTCCGTGTCTCATAGCTATTATATATTATTCGATAGAGAATTTTACGGGCTAGATAATGGTATATGTAAAGTATTGGGAAGAAACTATAACTGGGTGTTTCGGAAAGTCGATAGATCAACATCGTTCATGATTTTCTATATCCATCTATTTTATTTTTTCGAAGCCTTGTGTTTATCGCAGTACTCTTGTGGAACTCCCTCACTATCTTCGAAGAAGAGGGAGTAACAGTTTTATACTCAAAAGCCGCTGTTTTTATGGTAAATTTGACCTCCCCTTGCTTACACGCTCTTAAAAAGTACCCTTACGCGATCTTAAAATGGCCTTTACGCGATGTGAAAACTTTTACGCGATTGACGATAGTACCTTTACGCGATCTTAAATTGTGTTTTACATGATCTTAAAGTGATCTTACGCCATCTTAAATTTATGCACATCTTTTAGAGACATTGATAATAAACAAAATTAGAAACAGCAGTTTAGTATCGGACAGATTGAGAACAACACTGGTTATAGACAGCTTTAAGAAAGAAAATTGTATAGGTTCACATGTGAACCTAAACAAAAGGAATTACTTGCAATCAATGCATATGAATTACAACAAGATGAATGGTTTGTATTAATTATGGGTGCTACTATTTATCGACAGCAAATTTTTTTTTTGCCTTCTCTCAGTATCTTCAAAGAATATGAAGTTACAGTTTTTATATCCAAAAACCCTGATTTTAAGATAATGTTGTGTCACGAAATCTCTTAGTATGACACAGAATAAAAGCTTGGTTTTTCGATTTATGGATTCACAATTATTCCTCTTATATTGTTGCTAACGCCGTACTTATTTTCGTTTTACATTTTTCGTAAAACCAGTTACTTTTTACTGGTTCATTTATCTTTTTAATTTCTGACATTCTAAATCATTTTTATCTCTTTGCATATGAATTCTTCACCTAATCGTTCTAAGTCACGGCCGGCAGTACCACAGCTATACTCTCAAACAGATTCCCTGTCACAATATAGGATTAAACCATTGCTGAATAATCGCATTAAGCTATCGTGACTCATTAGTCATTCTAAACGGAAGTTAACATCACACAGAAAGAGACGGAGAAGATCATCATTGAATGCATCACAACTAGAAAAGGTTCAGTCTCAACGAAAAATATATATGCGAATGAAACGTGCATATCAAAATATATCTGACAGTATATTAAACTTTTATTTCAGATTAGAAATAATTTTCTTTTTTTAAGACTAGACGTCTCAATATTGGGAGTTCCACGTTTTAGCACCTTCAGATACTACCCTGCCAAGGTTTTTTATTTGAATACCCAACACGGTTATTAGATCAAAAGTTAAAAAACGCGTTAAGTTTCGTCTTCTTTGGAAGCATGGAAAATCAGTGTTTTTACGATTCTTCAGAAACTCTATTTTACAACAATATTTCTCACAAACTTCATCTAAATAGGTTGCAAGACCTCAGCTTTCGATTGGTGAAAAACACAGGTCGTTACGTAGTTATTGCTTTACTTTTTTATAGGTACAGATAAAAATTTTGTAAGTTATGTTTTCTGAAAACTGTGTTGTTGGTTAGTGTATTCAGAATGTTTGTAAAAGATCAACAATATTCGAAAGTTCACACCTCAACCAAATGTCGTATGGATTTGGAAAACGTTTCATTTTAAATAAAATTGTTTGCTCTATCTTCTGCACGTTTTTAAAACCTTCTGAAGTATCTAGAAAATTTGTCAAACTAAGGACTTTCGAAAGTTCTTTCTCCTAGGATTCGCATATAAAGTCGACTTCAATTTATCAAATCTTATAGATTTTGGGTTGCTCTTCCACATAAAACGAAAACAGATTAAAGTTTTGTGCGAGAGAAGAAACAGAGCAAACTTTGAAAGTTAAATAAAAATAGGTACAAAATTAAAACAAAAAAGGACTCAATTTTGCTGTGAATTAAGGACAACTTCAGCTCGCGTACCATCTAGAGAACAGCATTTTTGCCAGAGCTCTGTAACTCAACTCAGTTCATTTACCATTTATTTAGAAATCGTGCTCTGGTAAGCCATTCCACTCAACTGTCGTTCTGTATAAAAAGGAATACAGGGTGATATAGTTCTTAAAAATATTTGCCACCCTAACTGCTCTAGAATGATTTAGCCTGCCAGAATGCCTATTGGTATTATATTGAATAAGATTGAGATCCGAAAGAATGGAATGATTGTTGAGAATCTTATAAAAATGAAGTAATCTCAAGTATTTACATCTTTTATATAAATCTGGTAAATTTAATTTCTGTATTAATTCGGAAACAGAGCCATCAAACTTTTAAATATAATTCGCGCAACCAATTTAACAATAGAGTCAATGCGAGAATTATGATGAGAAAATTTAGTGTCGTAAACGACCGAACAATAGTCTAATTTACTTAGAACGCATGCCTTGAAAACAGTTAACCTCAGCAAGACCGGTGTATCTTTAAAACTTCGGTACACGTCACCTAACCTCCTACGACGAGCCAAAATAAGATCCTCAATATGATCTCCCCAATGTAAATTAGTAAATAAACGGAGAGCGAGTAGCACAGTAGAGTACTCTCAGTTAATAAACGAGCCTTTCACTGATAGTGTAAAATTTGTGTGTTTGGGGCTTATGAGTAAAGAGTAACCAAGAGCATTTATTATAATTTAATTGCATTAAATGAGAATCACACCACGCACTTATATGATCAACATTTTCTTGACATACAGAAGACGGGAAAATAGCTGAAGAGGGCATAAAAGTGAACAATCATTAGCAAATAGAGCCGCTGATGCAGGGAGTAAACTTTTAGACGGGAGGTCATTGATAAAGATAAGAAAAAGTAGTGGTCCCAAGACTGAGCCTTGGGGCATACATGGAACAAGGACCTTTCCTGAAAAAGAGTTTCCAATACACACTCGTAATAGTACCACCACGACAAGTAATTGCTTTGTAACTGCATAGAACACTATTTTCAGCGACTTTAGCAGACAAAATTAGTTCAGCTGCAACTACTTCAACTAGCACTTCGACAGCAGTAATTTCAACTTGGACGTTTACTTCGTTGCCTTCGTCACTCATATCAACAGGAACACATACACAACAGCAATAACAACCGGAACAGCCTTCTCGTCGTTGGAGACAACAACAGAAACAGCTACAACGATAGCCGAAAGTTCATCGCCGTCCAAGAATGGTTTCTGTGATGAAAAAAAAGGCAGATTTTGTTCGTGCCTACGGTTTAAAGCTTGTAATTAAAAGCAAAGATATTAAAAACTTAAAACCGACAAATCTGTCTCTCACTAGCATTATAGTCGTTAGATGACGATAGTCTGAAAGACAAAGTTGCTCTATTTTTGTGAATAAAAAAACGTTCTATGCTGCTATAGCTAAGAATGGTAATACGTACAGTAATATCAAGAGTAAGATTGATGCAGATACAAATGAATAAATAAAAATATTTCGATCATAATGTGGGAGCAGAATCTCCTTTGCTGCTTCTTTCTTCAATTCATAACTTGAAATAATAAATATTGTAATTCGTGTTACAGGTTGTAGTATATACAAGTTAAATATAAATATAAATCGAAGCCAATATTGATCAACTTTTGAATAAGAATAATCTTGATTTTCTCGTTCAATTCTTTCATTATAATCTTTCACATAGAAGTGTAGGTGGGTTAACAGATGTCGAATCATAGTCCAAAGAATTTGTATAATTGCTTTAAATTCACGATATCGACTAGTACGTTGTTCCTCACATAATAATATATTCTTTAAATAACCGTTAAATTTGCGCACAATGCACCAATATAGAAGGATAATGTTGTCAATATTTCAAAGTAACCTTTACGATAGAGTGATTTTTCGTAGGTAAAAAGGATTGAGATTTAAGAGGATGTATAGTAGGATATGGCCGAGAAAGCCAACAGCGATACGTGAACAAGAACGATGTTCTGTGACGGCAGCAGCTTCTTTCTGATAATAGAAGACAAAGCTAAGTAGTAATGTCTGTAGTAGAAAGAAAGCGAATGCAATAATAGTTAGTGTTTCTATTTAAACTTAAACTGTGAATTACTGATACCTTAAAATCTGTAGCTATACCAAAGACAGTACCTTTAAATAGAAATAAATAGACGAATAATTCGCCAAGTTCATTAAGGAACTTGATAATAACTTTATAACATTCATTCGATGAAAAATAATCTAATATTGAAAACGCCCCAATTCCAAATGTAATAAAAAAGAAGACACGTTCTACATAACGTTCCAGATTTGATTCTTTTGTTAAATAATAAATATAAAATTGTTCAACTAAATTTGTTATATCAATTAGAATAAGAATAGTAGAAATTAAATTGTTTTGAAGACGATGATTCATAAATTTAGTTTTGTTTTAGACAACTTTGGTTTCACATCTTTGACTGATACGTAATTGTTAACCGCAAAGCTTGAAATATCACTCCATCAAATGACTGTAATAGGTGTGTAAAGTAGTTTTTTTTTTTTAGTTGACTTAGCAAGACATCCGACCATACGGTGCCACCATAATGTGTTTAAAAAGAAAAAAAGGGGAACAGAAGGTGTTACTAGCTATATCATATACTATCATATATTATCATTATATCCTATATAACTATGCATTGTACTGGAATGTTGTCGTATATCTGTGGTCCAGGCACAAAGATAGTAAGTGTGTCTATTCATTAGATCGAAAAGTAGAAGTATCCGAGTCGACAAGAGATACGAAAAGAGACTTAAAAAGCTCACGTTTCCGCTTTTCTAGGAGTTGCGTGATTGACGGTTTTCTACTAAAAGAAAGTTGGTATCATATAAGTGTTGTGTGTCAGCAAGTTATACCTCGTTGTCTTTCCCAAAGTCTCTAACTTCTAAGGCGATTTTGAGGACATGGATCTTTACTTATACCACACGAAATTTATTGAAGCATTTGGCACAGTCAGACACACAAACATTTATTGTTTTTTTCTATAGTAAACTAATAAATTTCTTACTTGTTCTCTATAGGGTTTTGAAACAAGAATACAAGTTATTTGAGCTATTCTATTTAACATATAGTAGCATTCTGTTAAGTGAGAATGAACCAAGCCAAGTCAAGTCAAGCCTGGCTTGACTTGGTCAAAAATATTTTGGAGTCTGACTTGACTTGAGAAATTTTCTCAAGTCAAGTAATTTTTAGTAAGAGATTTTCGTTTAAATTAGGCTTTTTCTACCATGAAGGAGAATTTCTGAAGCTATAAACTCCTCTCTCACCCGAAAGGTGCTAACAAATTTTATGTTCTGTCTAATTTTAAGCAGACTTGACTTGGCAGAAAAATTATACGGGATGACTTGACTTGAGAGAAAAAGTTTTTCGATCTTGACTGGACTTCACTTGAAAGCTTTTTTAGTGACCTGTCTTGTGACCTGCAAAACCTCTGGCTTTCCCAGCTCTGGCTCAGCTCCGGTTTTCGCCAAAAGTCATCATTTACCACCTGTATATATAGTCTCGTCACTACTTTCACGGTAGATTTCACCTGGACTGACTTAGTTAAAGGCCTTTGTTAAAGATTCTTTACATAGTTTACTAAAAAACCTATGCAATGATCGTTGAAGAGCTAGGCGATTATTTCACAAATACAACGGTATTAAAAATATAATCAAAGCCGAAACGTCTCAAAGTGTTGTAGTTAAGTCTCGGTTACAACAAATGACTTAATTATCGTTGATCCTGATTCAAATTAATCAAAAACATTTTTAATAAACAAAGGCAAAAATACAGAATGAACGATTTATCGGCTGATGGGCATTAGTTTAGTATTAATTAACAAGTGATACAAAAGTTCTTGCACTAATACTGAACATTATCTCACTATGCCATCGATGTGCGGGAAAGTAAATCATTTTTTTTGTTTAATAGACCAAAGTCTGAACTTTGAAAAACATAGAAAAAAATTTAAATATGAAACATCACCAGAAAGACTCTTGTAACTTTCGCTTTCTCTCAACGAATCTATCTTATCAAACGTATTTTTTTTCTATAACATAGTGCGTTTAAAATTATGTAATTATAGAAATTAGAAGCGTTTTTATCGCTCTTTCAAATTATCTTTCGATCCATTGTTCAACTGTGAACTATCAAAGTTTGTCATTAGTTTCAGAAATACGATTAAGTAGACTTAATCAATGATTTTTCAGATACTAATGGAACTCTGTTGCTAAAAGTCGTTTGAGCTCTAAATAGGGATTTTCTTAATGTTGTGTTTCTTTCTGATGCAAAGTAGTGCTTTTTTTTATCAAAATTGATGGGTTTTTTATTACTATTAACGAATTACTGAGAGATTATCGAAAGCAGAGAAATCGCTAGAGTTTTGCACGCGCCTATACCCTCATCTATCTGAGTTTCAATGAAGTTTGTCTCTTCAGGGTGTAGTAAAAGAAAAAAGTGCGTTATAAGAACTACTTTAGTGATGTTTAATATTTAAGTTTTTTTCTCACACAAAATCAACCGCAAAAAGTATCTTTTTCTATGCTTGTCTAAAGTGCAAACTTTTTGTCTATTCAATGAAAAAAATGATTTACTTTCTTGTACATCGATGACATAGAGAAATAATGTTGAATATTTGTGCACGAATTTTTGCATCATCCGTTTACAACCTGCATACAATTATTACAGAGTTATGTATTAATTCTACATATAGAACGTTCATTTCTGAAATGTTTATAATCCGTTTTTCCTTTCATGTACAAGTGCATTTTAGTTAAAACAACAATGGATTCATGTTGATATCAAATCAAACGAAAAAGCGCTTGCGCTTCTTATTTGATCCTAAATTGAAATGTTCGTTATTGTCAATATATACAATAATAAGCAAGTAAATATAATGTAAACATATATGCTGCTGATCATCAGCATCATCGACACTTAATGGATTTCTTTTCTCTTTTTTTTCTTTTTTTTTTACTCTACTAATTGAACACGAATGAGAGAAAGAGAGAAACATTAAAGTTTATATTTGATTTTCGACATGTAAAGTAGAATTGGACTATTGTTCGATATATGAAGAACAAAAAATAAACATTTACATGAACAAACAAAAATTGTTGTCGATATTTTTATTAGTGCTGACAATCTTGATTTGCATCTCAGTTTCTAATTTTGATATGTTTATTTATCATATATCGTCAATGTTTTACAACATATGTTTTAAATGTATGTTCATAAAGATATATAAAAATAACATGATACCATGAATATTGAAAAAAGCAAACAATACCAGTAATATTTTTCTAAAGAATCGAATGAAAAATGAAATCAATGAATGAGTTTGTTTCCAAATCACTTTTTTTTCCAATTCAGAAGTTATCCTAGACAAAATCATACGCCCTTTCTGTCTATTTCCTACAAGAGTGTTACAGAATTCTCACATATAGAATCCATCTAATAACTTTCTACTAGAATTCTAAAATGCTAGGATCCTACTAGGATTTCGCTTAAGTTTGTTTAGAATCCTAACAAAATCTTAGAAAATTCTATGATTTTCGGGTATATCTGATTTCATTAGGATTTTTAAGATGGTAAGAAATTAAAGCAAAATATCCTAGTAGGATATTGGTAGAATTTATCTCGGATTCTGTCAAGAAACTCATAGAGATTTTACTAGAGAAAGACCTTTTCAAACAGTTTATTCTGAATTAGTAACATTCGAATCCTGACTACATTTAAACTCTTATTTCTAATCATGAAATGGTGATCATTGTCAATGAATAATTAGTAATATATCGATTCGTCGTTAGAATATGGAACAGTTCTCTTTTTCTCTCGTTATTCAATATAGTCATTTGTTTACTTAGGAGATTCTAATTTTTCTAATAATAATGTTTGTACAATGTCTACAAATGAACGATTTTGATCATCTACAAGTTTTAATATAGAATTATTGAGTTCTCTTAATGAAAACATATCAGAATAATAATCAAAGCAAAGGTTGAACATGAAGAAAAAGAAAAGAACAGAAAAATATTATTAACCAAATTTAAGTATTAGATATTGTCATGAGAGTGTTACTTATTTGCCTACAGTTATTTTTTAATCTTTAAACGATTAGTATCTGATAGAGTGTGCGTAAAAGGTGAGCCAATGTGATGTTCTTTTTTCACATCTGAAAATGGTAAACTACTATTATTAAAAATCAACAGTTCTACATGTAATTGGCATTTAAAACAACAAAAAACATCTTTTTTTGACTTCAAAATACGCCCATTCAATTGAGCATAAAAACTGGGATAAAGTTATTTTTGTTATTTAACAATGTTAAAAGTATAAAATTTCAAAGCAAGAAGTTTTCCTTTCAAATTGCGAATGATTATTGGATCTAATAGGTAATAAAAAACATTTGTGAAGACATATTTCAAAAGAGCAAACAATTTTAGATATATCAAACTATTTTTCGTTTAGAAATTTAAAAACAAAAATCACTTCGATTATAAAGAAAGAATTAATTTGGTGTAAATACATATCTTTCCTATATTTGCACAAAAAACATTGAAAAAAAGTTTTTCAAATTTGAAAAATCTGTAACATCGTCCAGACATCACTGTCACATGTTTCTAATCGAAAAACATCAAATCTATTAGAGATTTCATCAGTTTTATATTAAAGAACAATATTATTCTTTATAATAATATAAGACAGACGAATTGAGCATTATTGCTAAATTGACTTTTATTTCTTTTACCTCAGTCATAAATGCAACTTAGTGTTTTTTTGTTTTTGTTTTATTAACGGAAACTAAACTAGACTTTTCACTATTTTTATCTTTTTTATATATAATAACAGCGTATTTTTCAGTTTTTTGTTAGATTCAATTAGAGTTAAAACAAAGCATACGATACGATACTATCGGTAACTTTTCATATGCTCTATTTGTCAAAAAAATACTTTCACAAACGTCTTCAAATGAAGGATCTATTTTTATGAGACTAACCAAACACAAACATTAAAGTTTAATATCGATATAAATACTCTCAGTATAAACAAACATTGTTTCGTTACGCTTAAGGCGTGTAAACTGAAAAAAAAAACTTTTTTTCTCATGCCTTTGTATGTTGTTGTTCTTGTTGTACAATATAATCAACTCTTTCTTTTCAATATAAAATGGTTTGAAAAGTATGATAATATCTGCTCTATTCTCAGTCTCTCTATTCTATTTTTGCTACTTCATATGATCGATTGAATCCAAGCGGTACAATTTTTCTGATTGTTCATACAAATGAGAATAGTTTATTTTCTCAATAATTTATTATAAAATAGCAAGAAACAGAAAAAGAATTTGTTTAAATGATAAAAATTTATATAAGAACGATCTTGAAAGAAGATGAGAAAAATCTGAAAACGCATTCTCGATAACATATAAATCTGTGTTAAAAAATTTTATCTTCTTTCAATAATTGAGAGCGTGAAGAATCTTTGAGTAAGTAAAAAACATTGTATAATATTTCTTCTGGAATAAGATGCTTATGTGTAAAAAATTTTCATACTCTGATTGAATCACCACATGTAAAAGATATCATGTTGAAGAATCGTGCCTCTGACTACATTTTAATATATATACATGCTAATATGTGTCATCTTCTTTCATAATAATCTAACTGTACATTTACTTATGTACTAAAACAATGAAGCATCCCATATAATGAAGTGTATATTATGAATTCTTATTTTATCCATTTAAATATTACACGATCGAGTAGTATTAACCATTCTTAATTTCTAAATTTTGAATATTTTCAACGTGAGAAAGATGTAAAAATTTTATCATTTTGAAGAAGGTTTACATTTATAAAGATAAACATTTCATCAGTGGCGCGCGCGAAGGAGCTGGTGTAGGGGAACTGTAGTTCCAAAAATCAGAGTAAGTCAAAAAACGTTTTCTGGAAAGTTTAATAAAGTAAATTAGACGATATAAAACTCGTCATTTTTTCATTTCGGACGTACTGTTGTATAATCAGTTATCATCATACTTGTAAACATATGAAGGAAACTGTATTTTTTGTTGTTCCTTTATATAGTGTATTCAAAAACGAAAAAAATACAAAACAAAATATCAAATTCTACGATCAGTTGTTTTTGGAATTTTTGATTAATATCAATACGCCACCCAGCCAACGTATAATTCTAGTCCAGACTCGTACTTATCCATCTCTTGGGAGGAGGTGTTCTACCTTGTTCGAGCTTTCTCCGATTCTGTGGTATTTCGGGGGCAAAGATAGCCGAAAACTCGAGAAAACGGCAAATATGTGCGCAAAACTTATAAAAGTTTGTCGAAATCGGAGTAAACTTGCTCCATTTTTTCACAGAATTGAAGTCAATTTCCTGTAGTTCTGGTTTAAATCGGAGCAAATTTCTATCGAACTTTCTGAAAACAGGGAGGGGGGATACACTCTCCTCACAAAAAACTGTCTGGCCATCACTGCATTTCATACGTACGTCTATCACGTTAAGCGCTTGTTTCTATTAAGATAAATCTTCTTTCAAGATTTCTGATATACTTCACAGCGACGGATCCACTCACCGTGTACACTTTTATCGTATACTGTACTAAAGAAAAATTCTGGATATGCAGCCATCGATATTTCTGCGTTTTGAAAAAATTAATTTTCAAGTCTGTTTAACAAGAGGAAGAAGATCTAAGAAAGAAAAAAGTCGCCTTTTCCCCCTTGCTGTTTAACCAAATTTTTAATAAAACTCTCCTATTTTTCGTAACAGTAACATAAATAGAAACAATGAACACATGAAAAAACACTCAGTCTTACTATAGAATTATATTTTTAATAGATTAGATATATCAAACCTCGAACTATACATACAATTCAAATTTGTTTCTACTACAAAATTGAAATGTGTACTAGAGCTACCAGTCAAGTAACAAACAGAAATGTGTTATTAAAACTACTTTGTGTTCCCTCTCTTTCTCTCCAATGTTGAACGACATTGCGTCTGATAACAACAAGATTGATTATTCTTTGATCTTTTCTTAGCCCCATTTCCTTTCTTTCCCTTTCTCTCTTCCTTTTAATTTCACTCATTTGTTACTTGTGGACAATATTTCTATTTTTCAATCACTTAGTGGTTTAGTAACAATATTAATAGATGGAAGATTTTTTGAAATAGAGACATGTTCTGTTATTATTATTATTATTATTATTATTATTAATATATGAGTACATATAACAAACAGAAAAAAAAGAAACTAAAGAAAAAGAACGGATAGAAAGGAAAAGAGAAAAAAAGAATTATAGATTTTTTTTTTTGTTTGATTGGTGTTTAATTAACAAATCAGCTTCAGGCATGTATGATTTCACGAACCGTCTTATTTTCTTTTTTGAACCGATTAAATTTGTTTCCGATTAAAAACACTTTATTCACTAAGCAAAATAACAAATGTTAATCAATATTAAATGAGTACGATTCATATTTTGATCATTTAGCCTCATAGAAAATTTACAACAACAAAAATAAAATAATAAAAAAGTTGATCAACATCACGATAAAATAACGAGATTTTTTTGTTTCAAAATTATAAGACTGCATTTGAATAGAGATGTTAAAATCGATAATCCATTTTTATAGTATAGAGACGAAATATTTTTTATAGTTAATATTATTTTAGTTACTTATCGCACTTTTGCCATATGGAGTTCAATTTCAATAATAATAATAAAATCACAATATAGTAGTATGACAAATTGCAATTAATTGAGAACAATTACATCATTTGTATATAGAAAGATGAAATCCGTAGAAATGTCCAACATCGATTCCGTATCATTTATAAACACATAAATCTATATACACTGTGAATGCTATTAAGAAAACAAACCTAGAGGCATATAAATAGACGAAGAAGAAGAAGAAGAAGAAGAAGAAGAAGAAGAAAACAAAAATGGTAGACAATCATCATTTATCTATAATAAACACATCATCACCATCATCATCAATAAATACATAACAATTATAAAATAGAACATATTAGACTTCTATAAGCTTATCATTATCGGACAAGCAAGCAAACAAGTGAATATTATTGTTTATACATATTTAATATGTTATTCTTACATATATAGTTGACACAACATGCAAGAAAGATAACACATTAATAAAACGAACGAACGAATGATAAAAATCAAAGTAATGATGAGATCATCGAACATTTTATATTACAATATTTGTTTCGCAGTCGGGGTGAATTATGATCTATACACTATAGTAAGAAAGAATATTCATAAGAAATTAGCTTTTTAAAAAATATTATTATCAATAGTATATCGAATCCATTATTAATTGAGTCTAGAAAAAAGTTAACACAATTTCACTCTAAATTAGATGTACGATAAAACAAATACTATTTCTAGAAACTTTCTGACATTTTTAATTTTAGAAAATCAATTTCTATCTTATTGCTAGGATTTTAATTGTGCACACTGTTTTTTATTCTTAACAGAAGAAAAGATTACCATACACTTACATACTCTCATACAAATGGAATGTTAAAAAAAAAATCATAATTTAGCATAGTTCGAATCGTACAGTGTATCGTTCACTGTAGTTATTGCATTATACAATGTTGGAGATGTTAAAGCGAGTCCATTTAATATTGAATAATTTCCCGTAGCTGCAGCCATAACTGCTGTATAGGGATTATATCGACAAGCCATTGTTGATGATCTTAACGACGATAATCCATAAGGAAAATTGCGTGAAATAGAATAAGGCGGTGATATTGATAAGGGAGACGATGATGAACTCGAAGATTTATCCACGGGAGGAATAGGAATATTTTCTAATGCTTTTGGGATCTTTGTCATATAATGATTATTTATTGTAGAATTTTTTTGTATTATCGCATCATCTTTACCAATCAATGTTTCTATTGAAAATTTTGATGTTTTTTTCTGTTTTTTAATTACAGTATCATTAGAACTATTAGAGCGTGTACGTTTTAAACATTTCGATTTTAGATCACTGTCGCCAGTTTTCGTCGTGTCCAACTGTTTTAAATTCGACTTTTGTATATAATAATCGTTCAAACTTGGTTGATCGATTTTAAGATATGAATAATTATCGTTACGATTAAATTGTTCATAAGAATTTTGGAATATGGTACTTGTGGACGGCGTTGGACTATCTTCCTCTTCTTTCAATGATGAATTCGAATCTGAATCTGTACTTTGCCGTAATAAATAATTATTAGTACCTCCACCACCACCACCACTCGGTGTACTTGTGGATGATTCCACTGTCGAATTTGACAATGATGAAATTTGAGAATGTATAGCTTGTTTAGGTCGTCTTTTTCGTCGACGATAATTGCCATTTTCGAACATTTCATCGCAACGATCATCTAAAGTCCAATAATTTCCTATCAACAAAAGAAAACAATTAGAATTTTATTTGAATTATAGAAAATGAATAAAATTTTTACCTTTTCCTGGTTTGCCTAAATTAGTCAAAAAAAATAAAATGAAACATTTACAGTAGGAGGAAATCGGTCGATTAGTGAAAACATACCTTTCTCTCTTGGTACTTTGATAAAACAATCATTGAGACCTAAAAATGATAAATTAAAATAATTGGAAGATAAAGAAATAGTCGTAACTTACTTAGATTGTGTCTAATACTGTTTTGCCATCCTGAAAAGGAGGAACACCAAGAGGTTAAACAATAGTTTGTAAAAGAAAAATAATTATGATTCAAACCTTGTTTATTTTCATGATAATATGGAAAACGTTCCATAATAAAACTATAAATTCCATTAAGAGTAATTTTATGATCAGGAGCATTTTTAATAGCCATGGCAATAAGTGCAATATAGGAATAGGGAGGTTTTTGATGTTGTTCCTTTTTCTCGGATGATAAACGCAAATAACTACTCATAAGAGCATACGATTCGGCAGATGTTGGTGGATCACGGCCATAAATACTACTGTAAAATGGTGAACTAAAAGCAGCAGTTGCTGCAAGATGATTGACATATAAATGAGCCATTATCACAATCTAGAATAAAATATATTTTGAAAATTTTAATATTTTTAACATTTTAAATTTAATTGACTGATCACTGATAAATTTACTTGTAATTAAACATTATAAAACGGCGTAAGATACATATTATAAGTTTATATAGTAGTATATTTCATCCCTCTTCCTTCAAAATGAGATTACTCTGGATAAAATATTGTTTACCTTTACTAGAGAACGTTTGCCTGAAAAAATTTTCATACAATAAAAATGAAATTCAATTTTTTTTTAACAATAAAAATCTGTATGAAATATTGTTATAAGACCGTGTATACTTGCACACTTAATTATAAAAAAATATCAATAAACTATACTGTGTCTAGAACAAAGTCAATCGTATTGGTTGGATAAGAAGTTTTTTTTTTTTTTTCTTCTCTTTTCTTTTCTTTATTTGATTACATTTTTAGATCATCCAAGATGTATTATTTGTAATGTAAATATTAAAAATAAAAAAAACGAAGAAAATTGAAGAAAAACTAGTACTCTCTGTGTATATATGTATTCTATGCCGTTTTTAACAATAATATTGGTAAAAAAATTATTTTTTGTTGAATGCAATCGATGAATTATTTTTTTTTCCTGTTAAAAACCATTTATTTTCTTTTCGATTCCAATAAGAAATGTCTCTTTTCCTCTCAATTCTTCTTTTCAATAATATTTCTTTTTTCTTCAATTTTTCCATTATGATTTTAAATAACATTTTCGTTTTGTTATTTTAATTTTCATATGCCTCTTTGTTCAATTAAAATACAAGTAATAATTTATTTTAAAAACTCAATGCTAAGAACATAAATGTAAGAAGTCTAAAGAGAATAAATAATAAAGTTAGGTTAAGATAAAACTCACTTCTTTTCTCTCATATCAATTGATACTTTTAAACATTGGTCAGTTCTATCTAATTTTTTGAGAAAAAAAATTGATCTTTTTTATTCATAAATATTTTCAAAATATGCTTTAAAAATTTGCAAACTGTACTAAAAACGTTCACGAAAAAGACGAATATGATAAAATAAGCTGAAAAAGTCCTATTTTTCTCTACTAATAGTGTTTGCTATTAGACAGCACAGTTTTTTTCTCTCAACTTCATATATCAACATTCTAATATGTTAAATGATTTTAACTAATGGAGAAGAAAATGATGAAGAGAATATATTAGATTAGAGAAAATTTGAGAGTTCAGAGTGTAAAAGATTGAACTTTTAACTCTCTCTGTCTCTCTCTTGACGTTTAAATTTTCATCTTATTCTAGTTAATATCATACCTTCTTAATATCAGTCGTTAGATTAATAATAGTAATAATAATGACATGTATATATATATATTATAGTCTCATCTCTTTCTCATTTGTTTCCATTATTATGTCTATATTTGTCTTAATAAAATAAGAGAATAGAAACAAATAACAACAGTATAGTTATATTTTATGTTCGTTCCATCATATATGATCTCTCTATCATTTTTTTTATTTCTTGAAAATCGTTGATTTGTTTGCATAGAAGGTTGATTTTCTGGTTATACATATATATAGTCTACACAGTATTTCTTCAGATATAGAGAGAAGAAAAAAAAAGAATTATTTTTTTTTTCTCTTTCTCTGTGTATTTTATCCAATAATAACAAAATAATAATTGGCAAGTCCAATCGAGCAATTTTTAAACATTTTTGATTATATTATCTTTCAACTCAAATATACGTACATATTAGACTTTGTTTTCATATTGATAGAGATAATATAAGATGAGAGATGTATTTAAATAAGAATTAAAATATGTTTAAATGTTCCGAGAAGAGAAATAGAAAATGAAAGGTAAACGTTGTGTACAAACTAATGGATTTAAGAAAGAACCTCTTATTGGCCGGTGTATTGATTCATTTACTATTTGTATAAGATTTTTGATCAAAATTATTACATTGATCATTTTATTTTCAACAAAACATCTTTTATCATTCAAAGTTCTTTAAATTCATTTGGCTAATTTCTCGTTTAGTTGGATAAGTCTTGCTCAGTAAAGAAACTAATTCGATTTTGACCACATATAGACAATTTTAAATCCTTATAATTAATACATTACTTTTTTTTCATACTGAAATATCTTCATAGGATCATCACTGTTATTTTGTCTAACGCTGATTATTTAAGAAAATTATCTCGTAATTCATGTTAATAGCACTGTCACATTTAATTGCACTATTTATTGATTTAAAACTTGTTAAACATAGTTATGTTCTTTTTTTTTCGAATAAACAATGTCGCATTTTAATCTAACAGTAACATTACCAGAGTAGAAAGAAAAAGTTTATCCATGGGTGCGGCAGCTCTCACGTCAGCAGAAATCCCCAACATTTTTAGTCGCGGGATCGAAAGTTTAGAATTCGAACCTGGAGTTCAAGTCCTCGAAATAAGGTTTCAAGGGATCGAGATCTCATTTTTCGATGCGTTGAACCCTCGGCGACTCGTCGAAATTATATTTCGAGTGCGAAATATCTCTTGGAAGAGTGGTTGGGTAATACAAGCATAAAGTGTTTGTTTGAAATTTAAAGCGAAGAAACATCTCAAGAAGAGTCTTGGGCTACCATTGCCGGTGTAGAGTGTTGTTAAGTTTCAATAGGCGATATCTCCTCTCGAATTGACAAGCTTCTCACATGGTTATCCATATCACTACTAGTCATCAACCACAACTCTGACGCAGAGATCCTCTCACACAATTACTGAAGTTCTCCGTATATATTCACTAACCATGTACTAACTTTTCCGGAAAGCCATGAATACTAATCGGAAAAACTTTAATGTACGTCAGTATTCTATCGAGCAGATGATTCAAGGCACCAAGACGAGTAAGTTGCTCAAGGTTATTGCATAATTTGTCAGCGCTGGGATTCTAGCACATGACTTTTGAAGTACATGAAGAACAACAGAATCATCAAGTCATGTCGTCAAAAAATGTCTTATAACTAAAAGAGTTAGATGATAAGATATTACTTCAAAAAATTGATTGATATGCCTTACTTTTGTTCAAGACTAATTATCGAGTTCATAAAATTCTACTTTTAAAATAAATTTCAATTAACAAAAATTGTCTTAGTGAATAAAAATTTTTTAATCCTCCAACCGTTTTAAAATCTATGCGATACGTGTATTCACTAAACAATCAACAGATACTCAACAAAAACAATGTCACTAATGCTTTGTATTGTACAGTACACTTTTAATATAATATATAGTACACATACTTAATATTTGACACAAGTAAATCAAAAGTAAGAAGTATAAAAAAATGCGTGCAAGTGTATGTCTTCGGTCATGTATACATGCTTTCTTTTTTTTGTTGTTATTGTTGTTATTGAAAGAATATCAAATATATATATTCGAACACACAACAATTGACAATAATAACAGAAGTATATTATGAACAATATTCACAGGAGGGATTCGCGAACAGACACTTAAAAATGCTTTTTAAAAAGAAAAATCTTTAAGAAAAGAAAAAAAGACAAATATAAAAAATTTTTTAAACAACAAAACTTGAAAGTATATAGAAAAAGAAACTTTAAATGTTGAAGAAAACGTTAATCACTCATTTATAATATACGTAATAGAAGACCGTATGTTTAGTTAAATAAACGAATTTTTCTATATTGACAAGTTAATTTGTTCGCGTTTTTATGTGAAATGATTTTTTACGGTATTTATCATGTAAACAAAAGATTTGTGCTAAGGCCGAATAAAATATTTAACAAAAAATAACAGATCGCGAGACATAAAAAAATTAGAATTGAACAGCATGTTCGCTCACGAATGCTTATGAGAGTGGAACGTTTTCCCTCCCGTACAGCGTTCACCTCGAGCTATAAACACGATTTTAACATGATTCATTCGATTCATTCGATTGAGAAAGTCAAATGAGCTCAGTTGTAGTGAACTTTTGTTTTCGTTCTGTAAATGATAGATATGAGCTCGGAAAATTATTTTTGGTTATGATAAGATGGAAATGAACTGAAACATTTGAAGACCCCCTTGCTGTCAGAAATCTATCTCAGTGATCACCGCTCTGATCTTAGCAAAAATTTCAGGCAATGTCAAACATGTTGAGGAATAGTTATAATGGAATTTTCAAGGTTTGAGATATCAATTATTAAAAGATGTCGCTGGAACATGGGTTAAAATGAAATAGTTCAAATGTACGAGAACTCACGTCAGTCTCAAAGTGAAGCTAAGACATACCTCTACAAGATGACAGAGTCCGATTTTCAAATTTTCATCTGTTTTTTCTGCCAGAAGTATTTTTGTGGAGAAGTTGAACTCTACCTCTTGAAAATTTTTGATTTTTTAAGCCTCCCATGATTTGGAAAAGCAAAATATCTAAGATCAAGCTCTACCAATTTGTAGAGAGATGTATTTGTTTCAATTTGAGACCAAACCAAACTTTCCGTCACTCAAACTGTCCAAAAATGTCTGCAAATATGAAATGTTATTAAGGTGGGAATAGTTTCGAGTGGCGCTAGCATAGGGCAGATATCTTAAGGCTCATGACGTTTGCTAAAAAAATATCGCCTCGAGTTGTGAGGAGTCTCATTTTCTTCAGAAATATTTGCCATATAAATTGACATGCATGAAAATATTTGTGGCTTCGATTTTCTGTGGACGCAATTCAATTCCCAAAAAAGTCATGTTTATTAGCCTTTTGAAAAGCTTTTCTAAGAACCTTCACCGACGCACAGATCATTATGGATTTTGATAGTAGACATTCTGGGATATTCGTTGATGTTCTAAGAAAGTTCGATGACTATATGAATTCAAATTATCTTATACTGCGTTACACGGCCTCTCCACGTAACGGTCGCCTTTTCGTGATTCCGTCACGATTTTTGTTGTTTTACAAGTCTCGTAGCGCTCAAACAAAAGGAAACTCAAGGACCGTTTACATCTAGTCTTGTAGAGAAAAGTGAGCTGAACAAAATGTGATATTTTCTGTTTCCGCAGAGTGTCGTGGTTCTCAAATATAACAAAATTTTACGAGCCCCGTTTGGGCGGACTTTTGATTGGAGCTCGTAAAAATTTTGTTGTACTTGACGACCACGATATTCTGCGGAAACAGAAAATATCACATTTTGTTCAGCTTACTTTTCTCTACAAGACTACATCTAAACAATTCCTTAGTTTCCTTTTGTTCGAACGCTAAGAGGCTCGCAAAACAACAAAA